TTGGCACTAAAATATTTTGAGATATGTCAGTGCAAGTAGCCGTCAGAAAAGCTCAGAATTGCAACTTTTTAACTCACAATTTGAACTTTATAATTGGTTAAAAAAGTTTATAGCTCTCAATTCTGACTTTTCTTGGGATTTCACACTGTAAACTGAAGGGAAAAGTCTGTAAGCTGAAGTAAAATTTCTATATCTCAAAATTCTGACTTTATAAACAAGTAAAAAGTCCAGCTTCCAGCAAAGCTTCCATATATAAGAGAGCCTGTAGAAATGAAATACAAACTGCTGAGACTACAGGAGTTTATGAATCATAACCGATTGTTAAATCTGGTTGCATTCTATGAAAATCGTGGCACATCACACAGTTATGGAAGCATGTTTCCGCCACTGAATAAAAAAAAAAAAGATAAAATAAAATAATTGTGACTTTTTATCTCACAATTGTGAGATATGAAGTAACAATTGTGAGAATTAAACTCGCAATTGCGAGATATAAAGTTGCAATTCTGAGAAATAGTCTTTTTCCTAACAATTCTGACTTTTTTTGCGAGTTTACATTTCACAACACATAATTGCGAGTTTATATCTTGAAGTTTACATCTCTTCTCAGAATTGTGAGACAGCCTATAAACTCGCAATTGCGAGACTAACTGAAAAAAAGACTAACTTTTTCCCCCTCAGTATAGTTTATATCTCACAATTCTGACTTGATCTCGCAATTCTGAGAAATAGTCACAATTGCAAGATGTAAACTCGCAATTCTGAGAAAAAAAAGTCAGAATTGGGAGATAAAAAGTCGCAATTATATTTTTTATTTTTCATTCAGTGGCGGAAACAAGCTTCCATACACCGTAGCCTAACAAGATATTCTCAAGATTAACATGCCAGATTTAGTACCTCACGGGATTTCAAGGGGAAGCGGTTACAAACAAAATCATTACATTGTCACGGCAACTTTCTGCATCAATAATTATTCTTTGTAGCAAGAAAAAAAAAAAAAAAAAAAACAGCTGTGCTGTTGATATATTTCGACCAGCCGTTCCTCCATCTCCGTTACCCACCCGACCCGTAAAGTTGCTTATTGTTTTGCGATCGCCATTTCAAAAGTTCAGTCACTTCCGTCTCCTTGTAGATTTCTCTCATTGGCTGTTGTGGAAGTACTGATGTCAACATAATCATCTTGAATTAAAGGGATAGTACACCCAAAAATGAAATTCTATCATCGTTTTTTACTCACCCTCAAGTTGTTCCAAACCACTATGTGCTTATTTGTTCTGCTGAACACAAAGGAAGATATTTGGAAGAATGTCTTAATCAAACAGATCTCAATCCCCATTGACTTCCATAGTAGGAAAAAATACATACTATGGTAGTCAATGGGATTGAGATCTGTTTGATTAAAACATTCTTCCAAATATCTTCCTTTGTGTTCAGCAGAACAAATAAACACATAGAGGTTTGGAACAACTTGAGGGTGAGTAAATGATGAAAGAATTTTCATTTTTGGTTGAACTATCCCTTTAAAAACCTAAATGGCAAACATGTTTGTTATTCTCAGGACGGCTCCGGTGTGTTTTATAGAGCAATACGATTAAAAATGGAGACTCGTTTATCTGGATTTTCTTCTGGGGAACGATTTAACCCTTGTGCCTCATTGTAAAAAATGTACACATAGCTCCATACAGGGGAAAAAAAATTCCACATCAAAAAATGGTCATAAAAATTAAGCTTGGGCGCACAGACTTAAGTTTGGTATCATTTTAAAGTCCCTTGGCAGATTATTGCTGAAGTAAAATTAATAAGTCAATCCAAGTTTAAAAAAAAAATAAATTTAGGAAAATTATTTATTAACATTTTATATAAAATATATACATTTTATAAAAACAAGTTGAACTCAAAGCCATTAATATAAATAAGTTGTGCTCCAAATTTGAGGTTGATATCTCAAAAAAAAAAATGAGCTTTCGATTTTTCGATTCTGAGAGGGAGTATTTTGTGAACCTAGTGCAAAAAGATTTTAGGAAGGAAATAGCGGTGAAAGAATAAAATTTAAAATTTAAAAGACCAAAAATGTCCCTAAGGAGGCACAAGAGGTCTAATGTCAAAGTCTATAATCTGATTTTACACCAGTGCCATATTATTCAATCCATGCTATAATTTGTCATAATTTTTTTCCTACGTTATTTTAGGAAAAACATCAAAGATAAAGTTGATAGATACTTTTCTTTTCTTTCATTTTTTTTATACCGAGAACTTCATGAAAGAGCAACCTCCGAGCAATAAAACGTTCCTCTGGGAGTACAGAAGCAAACCTGGCATAGGAAATTAAACTTTTCGAAGGAAAGTGCAGAGTCATTCATCCAGTGCTGGTAAACACTTTTACTTTGGGGATTGTGAAGGTCTTCTCATGCATCAGTTGGGTTGTAATATTTCTTGAAACGATCGCAGTTTGTTTAAGTGCTTCCCCCAAGATGTTAAGAACACATCACGGGACTCATGTTGTGAAAAATGCCTAATTTCAGAAAAGCAATCTGTGACCAGCTGGAACGTTTAAAAGCATTTCATGGACATTAAACTCAGAACCTGTTAGAACACTTTGCCTTTAAACTTGTTTTACAACTTTTCCATAAATACTGCGCAAAAAGAAGCAACATTACGATCATTTTCTCAGTGAATTTTAATGACTGAATTACACCTAGCAGAAAGTGACAGCTGACAGTTAATTAACTGACAAAATATTATGAACTATAAACACTGTTGTGATTAATTCTAGTAGGTCTTGACAATTTTGACTGGACGTACTCATTAGAATAATTAAATCCTTTTTAGCAGATGTCTGTCTGATTTACAATGACAAACTGATGTACCATGTGTCAAGCCATGACTATTTCAGTTTAAAGAATTTAGGTTATCAAAAAGAGAGTTCTTGTCATTTCAATCTCAGTGGCATAACAAGTCATTATTCCTTCTTCACACATTGAATCATTGCGGTTTGCAGTTTTCATGCTTCACACATTTTACTTCCAAAACCAGTGCTTAAATTGTGATCCACAGATATTGAAGGGGGGCTGTGGCCTAAACAAAATAAATTAAAATGTTTTTCTCATAACATCAGTTTGAAATATATTCAAACTAATATTGCATTCATTATAGTGATGTGAGATTCAACTGTATTCATTTAATTATGTCTAATGATTTCAGTCAGGTGAAAATTATCTGTCTCTTCCTAAAAGCATCGATAAAAGAAAAAAAAAAGGTGAGCAAAACACGACATCAACCTCATTAATTACCTGATTTAATTACAACTAAGAGAAATATGTAGCTAATCTTCCAAATACCCTGAGCTCTCAAACAAGGGCAATGTTTCTGATGCAGTTTGCCTCAACATGTGCTTCAGAAATTATGCTAATATCCTGATTTGGTGCTCAAGAAACATACAATGGCTGTTTGGATTTAAATAGGCAAATACTTGACTGGATCATTATTAATATATGGACATGAATGGACTAGACTGAAATATTATATGGAATGAAATGGACTGGATATGATTATGTTTCTAGAATGTTATGTATTTGGGAACAGTACTTTTAAGCCTAATTGATGGAACAGTACTTTTAAGCCTAATTGATGGAGTGTGAAGCTTTTCATTGCTTAAAACCACCATGTACGAAGGCACATCATGGACATATTCCAGGATGACAATGTCAAGATTCATCAGGCTCAAACTGAGAAAGAATGGATAGACCTCATGATGGAAATCAACATTGTGATGTTATTTCCATCAAGAAGTGCATACATTTTTGGTTAAGATCTTGTAAAACGATTCTTCATGCTCCCTCTCAACCATTCTTTCACAATTTGAGCCTGATGAATCTTGACATCGTCAGCCTGGATTCTGGAATATGGCCATGATGGGTCTTCCTACATGAAAGTACTATACACACTCCATCAATCATACAACATGCTATAGAAACACAATCACAGCAATAATATATTCATACAAACACACACTGACCCTAAACGATTGGACGGAAGTGTATATTTTTTCTCCACCAAAAAAAAAAAGCCCCAAAAGAATCCAAAGTATCAAGCTTTGAATTAACTAAAGAAATAGAAAGTCATTCTATAACACAATTTCCATGTTTCAAGCGAGTTCTATGACTTAGTCATTTGTGTAGTCCAATGCATTTAACATCACAAAAGAGAAAATTACTTCATCGCGACATGCAAGTTGTTTCGCAGTCTAATTCTTTCAGCTTTTTGAAAGCTTATCATAATGACCAAAAAAATGACAATGGCCAATTAAATTATAATCTTGCCTATAAAAAGAAGCCAATTTCCCCCCCAAAAATGTCCAATGCTCAAAAGAGAGCTATTAATATGTTCCATCTAAATAGTTTGAAGGCATGAAAGAATCGTTGGCCATTGTTTTTTTTAAATCAATTTTAGACATAAGTTTAAGAATAGAACAGATAGACTTTTTTTTTGCTACGAACAACCAAGAAACAAGAAATGTCCCAGACTAAATACACAATCGAGTGATAAATGTCAGGCTGTTTGTTCTAAAGCACCTGTAAATAGTTCCCTGCAGGTGAACGGCTAGGTTTTACAATGACTGATAACGGAAAGCATGTCCTCGAGCTCCTCTCTGCTGTCGAGTAAAGCGGCATCGTCGAAATCTACAAGAAGGGTGTGCAACCCAACAAACAACAAGACCAGAAAAGCAGGGCAAAGGACAACACATTTGGAGAACTGAGACCACATAGTGAGCCGAATGATGTTTGCGTGGGAGAGAGGTTAGTACAAGAGCTACAAAAACAATAGGCCGATCTGTACATGCAAAACTGCAAAGGGAACCATAAGAAGTAAAAAAAACTCTTTTACAAGCATTTGATTGTTTTTTCAGATGAAATATGGCCTTTCATTCACTCTACCACCACTTTCTGAGGTGTTATAAAGCAAACACACAGAGTCAATGAACTTGAGAAGGTTGTTCCTACCTGTCATACCTCTTTAATGTACCCAAGATTCGTAGCGGCTCGGCACACTCTCCTGTGTTCATTTTTAGAGATGTTGTTTACAACGAGATGTTCTGATGATTAAAACCTGCAGGAATAAAAACAGACACGTTCCCTTAGAGTAAAAAAAAAAAGGTAGGCTCAGGCAAAGCAGGTCATATAAACATTATATAGGTATTCATAATGTACGTTATATCTTTTCATGAATATTTGTAACCAAAGATAAAATGCATTATAATATTACATAATATATATTTTCGTGTTTTTATTATACTTTCTAAAGTTTGAATGAATGCATAAGTAATGCATTATAACTGGTTACAATTCATGAGATTATAAAAGTCCAAAAAAAGAGATCGTAAAAAGGAAACATGACCGGAGATTACACAAAAGCGTGTTGGGGTGGATAGAGCTAATGCAGGAGAAAGAGTTCAGAAGAGATGCTGAAGTCCTGCTTTCTTCTCGGCAGGTAATGGCGGGCATACACTGTGCGATGTCTGTGCGATTTCAGCAAGGTACCTACTCACACTCAACAAGTAAATCGCATGCGATGCAAAGCCAAAGTTCAGGATTTATGTGCGCAAGCTGTATCGAGCTGCGACTTCACTGCTCATATGTGTAATATCTGCGATAACCCCCTGGATTGCGCCTATTTACGTGTATGTATCCAGAGATGTTCCATGTGCCTACAGCGGCTCAATTATAAGTTTATCAAGCGACGAGACTACTTTTTGTGCGAAAAAAACATAAATAACGGCTTTATTTGACTATTCCATTACTTCCTTATTGGCTAGGGTTGCCACCTTCACTGAGGCAAAATAAGGGACACCCATACACAAGATAAATAAATAATTAAATTAAATTAAAAAAAAATGTGTCAAGTGTATGGAACTGATTATTTCAACATGCCAACTTGACAGCTCAACAATAAACCACGAGAAAAAATGAGATCAAGTATGTGAGCTTAACAGAAAACATTTTATATTATTATTTTACATTTTATTATTTTACTCTTATTTACTTATATAAACTCTTCTGTATATGTTAGGGATTACAGAACCATTAATCATGTTTTTGACAATTATGCATGGATTGTTTTTATTTACTAAAATTGATTTTGAAATTGTTATGTAATTGTTTGTCAATTTTTTTATTTAAATAATGTAGCACTTTTAAAACTTTCTTTTAATTGCCATAAAGTGTGTATAACAGATAGGATCACAATTTAGTATGCATATGATTAATATTTAATAATGCAAATTATAATATTTAAATATATTAATCTGTTTAATAACATTAACAAATAGGTTACCTGTCTACCAAGCTCTGTATATTAATATTATATATTTATTTTCCAAATAAAAAAAACAACAAAAAAAAAAACAAACAAAAAAAAAAACATAGGCCTATACCTTTAAATTTGTCTGTCACGGCCATAGGTCATGGCATGTTGCTTTGAGTCGCATGTTCTCTAGACTCATCATGGAAACAAAGACACTAAAATGCAACCAAGGGCAAATTAATTACTCTACTTCTTGTGAAATTGATTTCATTATAATTAGGCTATTATCCATAGCCTACTGTAAAATCCTTATTTGTTTATGTGTGGGTCTATGTAAAATTATGTCTGTATGACTATTTCTATTATTGGTAAGAAAATCTATTTATTATTTATGTATTCAGACATAGGCTATTGTTAATTCTATTATAGCCTATGGAATTCTCTGGGTTTGTTAAGCAAGTTATTTTTCTCCACAACATTCACATTTTTATTATTAAATATGTATTTAATATCTCTCTCTCTTATTTCTTATTATAACTTATTTAGGCTACTCATTGCCACTGACACTTTCCAGCGAAGTATTTTGTTTCCTCACACTCTCGTCGTTACTTTTGCATACGCTTTCGTTTCAGAGGTGGACGCAACTCTCTGCCAAAAGACCCGCCCTCTTCTGACTCTGATTGGTCCTGAACCTGATAGTGTTAAACAAACCAATCAAACCAACAATGGCAGCGCGTATTACCTAATCAAGGGTAGAATAGGACGCGTCTTCACAGAATGCGGGTGGCATGATTTGCATGGGATCATGCGTCGGAAATACGGGACAAATCGCGTCCCGTATTGATTCAAAACGGGACGCGCTTTTTATTTCACAAATACGGGACGATTCCGTATTTTAAGGGACGGGTGGCAACCCTATTATTGGCGCATGCGCAAGAACTGAGACGAGGACGATCTCCTTCGAATTGTTACCGGCTGCTCACCGCTTAGGAGTTTTACCGCCCCCTACCGTATAAGATGATGTGCTGATATAGCTGGAAGTGCAAAACTTTCTGTTTACAAGCAGAGGAAGATGCGCGCTGTACATACGCTTTTCAATTAGCGTATTTTCCGCACTACAAGGTGCACTTAAAAGCCTTTAATCTTCTCAAAAAACGACAGTGTGCCTTATTATCATCTTATACTGTAGGGGGCGGTAAAACTCCCAAGCGGTGAGCAGCCGGTAACAAGAAGTGGTCGAATGAGAACGTCCTCGTCTCAGTTCTCGCGCATGCGCCCATAAGGAAGTAATGGAATAGTCGAATAAAGCCGTTATTTATGGTTTTTTTCGCACAAAAAGTAGTCTCGTCGCTTGATAAACTTATAATTGAGCCGCTGTAGGCACATGGAACATTTAAACATTTTCTTTAATGACTTTATGGGCCGTCAAGAGCCAGTCCCTTAGGAAGCCAATGGAAGAGTGATCCAGCTCTCAGATTCAATCAAAAATATCTTTATTTGTGTTCCGAAGATGAACGAAGGTCTTACGGGGTTGGAACAGCATGGGGGTGAGTAATTAATGACTTAATTTTCATTTTTGGGTGAACTAACCCTTTAAACGTCGGTTAGATGACGATCCTTGGGCGTCATCCAACTGACGCTTTGCCTTTAACGTCAGTTAGGTCACGGGGTAGGTTTAGGTCTGGGGTAGGGTTAGGATTATATGGCGTCATCTAACCAACGTTTAACGGTACCCTAAAAAGGCGAATGTTGACGTATGGTCAAAAGCGTCAGTTGTATGACGTCTTGGGATGAGACTGCGCTGTCGATAGGGCGTCTATCTATATGATGTCTATGATATAGGTGACGCTTTTGAAATTGTATCTACATCTGACACACATGGCACCCTTGTGCCATGTGCGTCAATATGAAACGCAGATATTAGACCAATAGGCGCCTCCTATTGGTCTAACCCTAACACTACCCCAGACCTAAACCTACCCATAACCGAAGCGTGTTATATTGACGTGAAAGGGTGCCATGTGCGTCGAATTTAGATGCAATTTCAATAGCGCCACCTATATGACACCCTGGGATGAGAATGCGTTGTAATGGCATAGTGTGTGCAGGTTGGAGCCAGGGAGGATGCTGGGAGATGTAGTGCTGGAGACCGTTACAAGGAGAAGGGACAATGGGTCTCATTTATGAAACATTCGTAAATATGAGAGTGATTTGCACGTAAAGAGACCTTCTTGAAAACTTTTCTCCTGATTCACAGACACTTCGTAAACGTTAGATGTGATAGTGAAATGTGTGTGTGTTGAATTCCAACCAGTCGTAAATGGGATGTGCGTGCACGTTCATTCTCAATTACCATAAATCGCGCCCATTATATCCAACCGACATCTATATAGAGGCATATAATAACATGAATGCGAATGAAAAAGATTTCTCGGATGCAGAAATTGAAGTTTTATTATCAGAAGTTCATTCAAAACGCCACATTTTATTTTCAAGCGTACATAGTGGCGTATCAGGTCCTAAAAAAAAGAAAGCTTGGCAGCATATTACAGATGGAGTTAATGGAGTTTCATCTGTTAATCGAACAGTCCCAAAAGTGAGAAGAAATTGGTTCAACATTAAGCTTTACTATATAAAATTGTTTTTTTTCAAAATGCTGTATAAATATGTACCCATTGGTGAATTAAAATGCAGCCTTTATTAATGAGCAAAACGTTCGGATGTGAAGCGCACCATTTATACGTGGCTGGAGTGTAGATTTCTTACGTACCAACTAACATTTGGAAAATACGAACATTTTAATGAATCCGAAAATTTACGCCAGAACCACTTTACACACGATTTACACAAAAATTTGTTCTGCTCGTGTTTCATGAATGAGATCCAATAAGAGTATTTTATTGGACGGAAATCTGTATTTCCAGTGCATTTTCTTGGACGAGAAAGTACATTTAAAAGGGCGAATATCTACTAAGTCTTTTTTTTTTTGGCCAAATTTTAGACATCACAGATGAAAGCTAATAGACTTGGACACACTCTTTACCTGTTCAACAAGCTTTTAAGAATTTGTTACACATCCTCAGTCGGATCATGCACTCGGGGGGCAGATTTATCCATGTCTCCCTCTCTCCATGTTTGATTCAGTTAGCACATCTGGCTCAAGGAAGTGTGCGGATTATTTGGAAGTATTTGATCCGGCTGGAGTAGTCAGTACAGTGACAGGCACTAGTGCTTCTGCACACTTCACATATTTCAGCTTATCAGCAGTGGGACACACGTGGCTTTACAGTGCAGGAGTCAAGCTGATGATTCATGGGCTATACAAAGGCAGTATTTTGCTTTAGAGACGTATTAAAGACAGGAAAATGGACCGAGACAGCAAGACGTCACTGAAAAGAAGAGTACGGTCGCAGGATCTCTCCACCAAACCAACACTAAACAGTATAAACTACAAAAGGATGGAAATTCAGGCTGAAATACAAATGTGAAACTTCAAAGGATATTGAACAAACATACTGGATCAAAACTAGAATAAAATGTAACCGATTTGCATTTATTTCCTTAAAAGGACACATTCATTTAATCAAAAGTGAAAAGTCAAACATTAAAAATGTCACACGTTAATAAATAATTTCCATTTCAAATAAATGCTGTTCTTTTGAACTATCTATCCTTTGAAGAATCTTAAAAAAAAAAAAAAATCATAATTATAAAATGTTTATTGGTCATATTAGAATGATTTCTGAAGGATCGTATTCCACTCAACAATAAAGTAATGAGGCTGAAATAAAAAAATAAAAAATACG